GGCTTAGACTCCGACCACAGCTGGTCTCCTGTTGTGCCGTCCACGCCGGCTCCGGACGGCCTCTCGGTGGTCCTGGCTTTCTCACCACCTGTGACCATCGTGCAGCACTGGGTGCCCCGTGGACACGCCTGAGTGTTCGTTGTCCTTCAGACCTGGATGCTCACCCTCTCTTTGCCTCAAGCCACACAGGGGCCTTTCTTACCCGAGCCTCGCCCATCGGTACCAGTGTTAGCCAGTGAGATGGGGCAGCCGTGCCAAGGGGAGCAGCGTGGACTGGGCTCCAGCCTGGTTCCTGTCCCCGCTCTGCCTCTTCCTGGCCGGGCTACTTACTCCGAATGAGCGTCACACAAAGTTGGCGCCCGGGTTCCTGTGACACACGGGGTGTTGCTGCTGGTCCTGACCGTTGCGCAGGGTTGCCCAGGTCCGTGTCCCGTCCCGGGAGCTCCCGGTGCGAAGGGCTTGCACACTGGGAAGTGGTCTGCAGACGAGCGGGAGGTCCGCGCGGCTTCTTCCTGGGACCCGGTTGGCGATAGTCAAGGGTGTGGAGCATCACGGGGTGGGTGCTGGGGCTGTGGCTTCGCATACGGTTTCCTCTCCAAGTTGGTCGGCCTGCTGGTTTTCCTAGCCCACTGCCGTCTTTCCCGGCATTTGATCGGCGTCGCCTCTGGTGATCACCCCGGGAGTGGCCGGCTGGGTGTCAGGGAGAGGCAGGCTATGGGCGCAGGGGGCTGCAGCCGGCAGGGCAAACATTTAACACGTTAAGCGCCTGTTTTGTCTTCCGGACGGAGGGTATAGTGTCAGTCACCGGTGACTGACTGGGCGCTTAACGTGTTAACTCTTCAGGCAGCGGATTTGTTTTTTCCTGGAGCCTGCACGCCTCGCGGTTCAGGATGTCCTTTCAAAGCCGAAGCAAAGGTTAGCCGCTGTGGAAACGCAGTGCATTGGGTAATCTGCTTTCAGGAGTCTCCGCTTGCTCCCAGTAGCGTCCTCATCGCGCTCTGTCGCCACCGCAGGCCTCATTAGCGCCCGAGAGGCCGCGGGTCCTGCAGAAGTGGGGGCCTCCCCAGCACAGAGCCGCATCCTCCGCTACACGCTCCTTCCTGCTCCCCCTCAGTGTCACCTCAGCGCAGACCCTTCCCCGAGCCTGGCCTCCATGCTGGGCACGATGCCGGGCATGCATTTGTTGTCACTGTGCTAGAGGAGGAGGGAGGCAGCTCTGACCCTGCATCCTCCGTTTCCATGGTAACAATCTAAACCAGCCATTTTCAACCCGTGTGCCGCGAGGATTTTTTAAAAATCGCCATACCTGACTATTTAGTCAGGGGCACTGACCTCTTTCCCCTTAGATTGTGAAATAAAAAAAATGACACCAGCCAGCACAATAGCTGTCCAGTGTGAGTGCCCTGCCTTGAACCATAACATACAGGTCATATAACAGAGTTACATTTTATCCGTCACGTTGCATCATCAGGTTGCATCTGGTTGGTTAATTATTGGTACCAGAGATCCTTATATACAAGTATAGGCATCTGACTTTTTAAAAAGTCACTTTGGAGCAAAAAGGATAGGTAATTACTATTATTTTTATTTTTTTGTAAATCAATCAAAATTATACCTTTTTTGGCCAGCATTTTAGTCGTTGGTTTATGTGTGCCAGGAGATAAGAAAGGTTGGAAATTGCTGTTCTGAACCAATAAAGCACTTCCACTTTGGGAAGACAGTCACCATAGAGATTAATTCAGTCCTGCCAGAGGCACCTAGTTTAACAGACAAAAGAAGTAAGATTAGACTCCCGTCTTTCGAATGTTGAAGGATTTAGATCAGCGGTTCTCAACCTGTGGGTCGTGACCCCTTTGGGGGGTGGAACGACCCTTTCACAGGGGTCGCCTAAGACCATCGGAAAACACATATATCATTACATATTGTTTTTGTGATTCATCACTATGCTTTAATTATGTTCAATTTGTAACAATGAAATTGGGGGTCACCACAACATGAGGAACTGTGTTAAAGGGTCGTGGCATTAGGAAGGTTGAGAACCACTGATCTAGACAAAGAATGCATGGAAATAGTTAGAGAAAACGTGACAGGTGTGACCCCAGACATCTCCCAGGCGCCCTCCAGCAGGGTGGATGAGGTCCTTCTAGCCACTTGACAAACTGACAGCTCCCGTCTATCCAGCTGCTGCCCTGGACGGGCGGTGAGGTCATGCACTGACCCGGGGGGCAGGGGGAGGTTGGCCGCAGGTGAGGAGGGACATGGAGGAGGCAGCGGGAGTCCGGATGAAGGAGAGAGCCACTGTGTCGTAGCGAGAAGAGACGAGAACGGAAAGCAGAGGCGGGAAGGGTTGTTCTGAGAGCTGTGTTCAGTGAGCGATGTTTGCGTTCGTGTTGACCCTGGCTAAGGTGAGGTCTCACCGCCGGGTTCCGGGCTGCAGCCTGCCCAGAGAAGAGGAAGGTGGTGGCACCCCGTCACCATATAAAATGGAGAAACGGTTATTTCCCAGCCAGCGTGCCTCCAATAACGTTATAGTCGGGAGGGCTAGAAAGGAATAGAATTCACTTTTACCCACTTGTATAGTAAGTGAGCAGAACTACTGGTTCCTGAATTGACGATTAAGGGGCTTGGCCTGAAAGAATCCAAATTCCCATATGTACTTTTAATAGTTGACTCCTTTTGGTAAGATTTCTTTTTTTAAAAAAATATAATGGGCTCTTTCTGAGTTGAACACACTCTTTCTTATTAAAGTGGTAGGCGGACTCCCATGTGGAAATAGGCTTTGGGTTTTTATTCCTGCTGTGCCATCGATTTGGGTCTGATGTAAGTGCTGTCGTCGTTTTTAACTGACGGAAGACTATCTGGAAAGATGGGGTCCGGCGGGAGGCAGTAGCCCCAGACACGTAGTATTTTCCAGGTCAAGCTCGGAAATGCCATGTAAGAAAAAGTCTCGTGTGTCCGTGCTCCTGCCTCTGAGAGTCACTCTGACACCCACACCGTGCCTCGGGGAGCCCCGCTCGTCTGGAGGGTTTGTGAGGTTCGGCTCAGCTCTCCCGAGAAACCCTGTGAACCAGGGTGTGGAGTCCCGGTTCAGGGGTAAAGGCCCTGTCAGGCGCAGCAGCTCTTTCTGGCCAGAATTTGAGATGAAAATCCACAGATGGGAAGTGATTTGGAGTGGGGGAGAGGAGGGGCACGCCTCGGAGCTGTTCACCAGGAAACTTAAGTGTTTCGTTTTGTTCGCTTGATTTTTAGAGAGAGAGGGAAGGAGAGGGGGAGAGAGAGAGAAACATTGATGAGAGAGATCATCAACACCCATCAGCTGCCCCCTGCACGCCCCCTGCTGGGGGTCAAGCCCACAACCCCTGACGGGGAATCGAACCCGAGACCTCCTGGTGTGCAGGTCCAGGCTCAACCACTAGGTCACACAGGCCGGGCGCAGTATGTTGCTCTTGAAGCTTTTAAGGTACTTTCTTCTTCAACACAAATATTGCCCTCAGGCCTGGTCACGCATCCCCGTGAACCTGGCAGTGATGCGGTGAGCGCAGGGAGCCGAATCCCTCTGGGCTCTGTCTGGCTCCGTATCTCCAGGTAAATCAAGTTAGCGACTTTCTGAGCCTGTTCCTTCAAAGGGAACGGAGGTGACGGAACTTGGGAACTGGCGTCCCGCTGGTCTGTTCCTGGCTCTTTCAGTGTCTCCTTTGTTTAGAGGACATCCTGGAAGGGTGGATGAAGGAGAGCTGGTCGCCCCCGAGCTGGCCCCCAGCTGTCCTGCACCCCTCAGCCAAGCCCCAGCTCCAGGGAACCTGGGCCCACCCTCCCCCGGGCCTCCTGGGCCCACATGATCTTCCAAATACATTTTTTAACCAAATCATAGTCACCTTCCCAAAATGAGTTCTTGGTGAATACAGTTTTCTTCCTCATCCCCTTACATTTTGTTTAAATGGTGGTGACATATACATAACATTACATTTATTATCTTAACCATTTAAACCTGCCCAGTTCAGTTCACTGAATACCAGTACATTCACCCCGAGGCAGCCCTCACTCCATCCAGGCCCAGCCGTTTCTCGTTGTTTCCCGTCTCGTGGGAAGAAGCTGTGTCCTCATGAAACTTCAACTCTCCTCCCCCCTCCCCTCGGCCTGGTAACCACTGCTCTTCTCTCCGTTCCTCTGAGCCTGTCTGCTCCCGCTGCCTCCCACGCGAGCTCATGCAGTGTCTCCCTTTTGTCCTCAGCATCGTGTCCTCAAGGGCCACCCGTGGTTAGCATGTGCCAGGATCCCCTTGCTTTTGAAGGCGGAGTGAGAATCCATTGTGTGTATAGACCACATTTGTCCATTCTCTCATCATTGGACACGTGGCGCGTCCCCGCCGTTTGGCTGTTGGGAGTCCTGTAGCTGTGAGCATGGGGGTGCAGATCTCTCTCTGAGACCTTGCTGTCAGCTCCTGTGGACATACACCCAGAGGTGGAATGGCTGGACGGTATGGCAGCTCTCGTTTTAATTTCTGGAGAATCAGTACCCTGTGCTGTATTGTGGCTGCACCGTTTCGCATTCCCATCGACAGTGTGTGTGGACTCCAGTCTCTCCACATCCTCACCAATACTTGCTTTCCCTGCTTTTTAGATAGTGGCCATCCCAGTAGGTGGGGGATAGTAGTATCTCCCTTTAAAAAATTCTCAGTGCCCAGCTAAGGCCGCCCCGGGGGTAGAGGCTGAGGATGGGGGTATTGCTGGGTGGGGCCATGACCCTGCCGTTTGTTAAGAATTATGGGACAGGTTCTCTGCTTCTCCATGGGGGGTATTTCCAGAGGCCTCCTGGGGTCTCCAGGGTGGAGACTGGCGGGCGACAGGGTAGGCATGGAGCCCATTCCAGGGAATAGAAAACAAAACGATGCTGGCAGGGCGCCAGGTTGGACGCGAAGTCCATGGTTTGACGGGCTGTAGGTACTGGCCTCCCCTGAATTAACTGTGTGTGTGTGTGTTGTGTGTGTCTCTGTTTTCCAGGCTCAGACCATGAATTACGTGGGGCAGTTGGCGGGCCAGGTGTTTGTCACCGTGAAGGAGCTGTACAAGGGCCTGAACCCCGCCACCCTGTCCGGATGCATCGACATCATCGTTGTCCGCCAGCCCAACGGGAGCCTGCAGTGCTCCCCGTTCCACGTCCGCTTCGGCAAGATGGGGGTGCTGCGCTCCCGAGAGAAAGTGGTGAGAGCAGGGGCCCCGGGACCCCGTTCTGTGGCTTCCCATCTCCGGAGCTTGTCGTAGGCCCAGATTTTTAGCTCTCCGTTGGGTAGGGCTGTTCACTGAGTAGACGGTGAACTCAGATTGTTCTGGTTACGATGGCTGTGTGGACGACTCCAGAACTCAGTGGCAGAAACCAACTGTTTATTCAGCTCCTGGGTTCTGTGGTCAGGGATTCGAACAGCAGGGCTGACTGTCTGCCGCCGCCATCCAGGGCTCAGCTCGAAGGCTCCAGGCCGGGGCTGGAACCCTCTGGAGACGCATCACTCACATGACGGTGGCTCTTGGCTTTTGGCCCCTCCATGTGGTCTGGGCGTCCTCACCACATGGTGGCTGGTGAGGGGGGGGAGAGAGAGAGAGAGAGAGAGAGAGAGAGAGAGCCAGCCCAGTGGACGCTGCCTTTTCCTCTGACCCAGCCTCTGAAGTCACATACGCAAGCCCGCCTGGGCTCCGGTGGTGGCGGTGTGGGGCGGGTGCAGACTGCATTTCCTGGTGGGGAAGAGCAGGCAGGACCAGGCTGACCGACTGCGACCTGGAACTGTGAGCTCTCTGTGGTGTGTGTGCGATTCAAGTGCACGCGTGTGGAGGCGTGGCCAGGGGAGGTTTGTTTCCTGATGTGGAGACGTGCGTTTTCCTTCCAGGTTGACATAGAAATCAACGGGGAATCTGTGGATTTACACATGAAGCTGGGAGATAACGGAGAAGCCTTTTTTGTTCAAGAGACCGATAACGATCAGGTAAGGAAGGCTGGGGGTCAGGGCCACTTCCTAGCTCCGCGCAGGAGACAGCGGAGTGTGGGTGGAGCACGCTGCCGGCTCCCGACGGAGCGGACGGTGGCAGAAGAGGAAGCAGGCGCTGTCTGTCCTGGCATCTGAGCCAGACGGGCTGCTGTGTGCTGAGTCCACAAGACTCGGCAGCCCGGCTGCTTCCGTGGGCTCAGCGTTTCCAGGGGGACAGAGGAACCCAATCGCCTGGCCTGAACCCTGGTCCATAGCATACAGATTGTACTTCTGTCAAACGCAGACGGCCGAGTGGTCGATTTTTGTCTAAACACACACACACACACACACACACACACAGGCTCTCTTACACACACACTCTTACACACACATGCTCTCTTATACACACACTCGCACTCTCTTACACACAATACATACACAGGCTCTCTTACACACATACACTCTCTTACACACACACACGCTCTCTTATACACACACACGCGCACTCTCTTAAATTCTCACCTGAGGATATTTTTCCATTGATTTTTAGAGAGAGTGGAAGAGAGAGGGAAAGAGACAGAAATATCGATGTGAGAGAAACACATCGATTGGTTGCCTCCTGCCCGCGCCCTGACCAGGGCCCACTCCGCAGAAGAGCCTGCAACTAAGGTACGTGCCCTTGACCGGAATTGAACCCCTGACACTTCGGTCCGAAGGCTGACACTCTATCCACTGAGCTGAACCGGCTAGTGCTATTTTTATTATTTTAAAATGTCTAACAGCGTTGTTGAGATAATTCTCGTACCATACAGTTTAGCCATTTCAAGTGCTCAATTCAGTGTTTTTTAGTGTTTTCACAGATGTGTGCCCGTGACACCGGGCAGCCACACCCGCAGGTCACGGGGACGTTGTCACACGGGCACCCCTCTGGCTCGATCCTGCCCCTGAGGCCCGAGTGCACGAGCCTCGTTGTAAACAAGACCTTCCGTCCTCAGGAAGTGATCCCCACGCACCTGGCCACCTCCCCGATCCTGTCGGACGGAGCCTCGCGCATGGAGTGCCAGCTGAAGAGGAACCCGGTGGACCGGGCGCGGAGCCTGGACC